ACAGCCTAGTTCAGACAATGTGTATTTATTTATATATCAAATATTTGACAGTTGAAACATTATTAACTCGTAGACAATCTACGATTTGATATTATATCATACTTGATCGTGCCTGTAAAAATGGCATGCAATTTCATGTAAATTTATATGTTTATATGAGAATATATATTATTATTATTGTGAATAGTAATAATCCATTTACACAAATCAAGCATTTACATGATTAACACGCATGATCATATATGACTCAATTATTCAGTAAATTCAGCTATCACAGTTTACAGTTCTTTTGAAATGTGGAACACAGTATTGGTACAGAAGGTATCACAAAAATTACGTACATATCGTAGTATTTGTGCCGTTGAATCACGCTACAAGAATACATCTAAAAATGAAACGATAAATCTTCATTTTAAACTGCAAGGAACATACGGTACAAAAATACTCAGCGAATTCAGTTCCAAAATACTTTTTTCTTCATACAGCATTTACGCATAGAGTAATAATCCAAAGTATATCTTCACTGCGTTGAAGAATTACGCAACGCAATGTCGAAGTCAGTGATAATCACCGAAACAGCTGACCAATCTTAATGCAAAGTACGACGAAAAAAGCATTGTAGACATACAGAGAACCGTAAGACGACGTAAGAATAGTCAAATGTTACATCATATTCATCACGGTTGTTTAAAAGCTACACATAGCGGAACCGCCTTAAACCTCATACGACAGTAAATACCCACGGGAAATCAAAATTCCAATTGAGCGCTACTGCTCTAACCAGTGAGACGAGAAAGTTAGGAGAGAGTTAAATTCAAAAAGTGATGGCGTTTATCCTAGCGGCTGTAGAAACCTATTTGGAAACCAGCTGTATCTTCGCTTTAGATCATGAATACTGCTCATACAGAGTGTGATTCAGAGTCCTGAAATGGTAATCCCGGAACGTTCAAAAGAGATGAGTTATAATGGTCCAGCTGCTTGAAGAATGATATGGTATACGTGTATAAGTGGCATCAATTCCTATTTAACTTCCGACTTTCTGTAGGTCTGTGCGACGTACGTCCTGTCAGCTTTTTGGTGAGTGTTCTCATGTCACTGACTACATGTCAGGTAAAGTATTAATTAATCGCATTTTTTGTACATTTTTTCAGTAAGACTAATGCAGTGTGACATATCAGCAAGACAACTCTTCAGGTTTCTCCCTGGGTGGAAACTCTACTAGTCACTGACTTATAAACCTTTGTATTTTGGGTGCAACAACTGTCTTAGGTATTTCAATCGATGGTGATACAGCATATAGGGCTATATTTATACTTTAGAGGTTGACGGTATTGACGTTCACGGATTGTACGGAGTGTACTATCGCAAGGCCTAATACCAACAACTTCTGTAGCACTCGTTCCGCGTAGACCAAAGGCAAAGCAAAAGACGCTATTCGATCGTCCAAACTGCGAGATATATTTCGGGACCAAGTAGTAGACCGAGATGAATGCTAAGCTGGCTAGTGATCGTGCACGAACGTGACACGACGGAGTACCAAATGGCGTGGATAAGTGACCGGAAGCCTTCAGCTAAACAAGTCGACTTAAACAGTGAGGGTAAGCATCTAATGTTCAGTGATGATTGCTGTGGTCAATAATTTTGGGGAATTATTTACCGCTACAATCCATAAGACGTGCTTTTCCTCTCTAGCCGGAAATATCCAATTTTGTGAATTATTCGTTTGGGAAACCTGATCTTCCTACCCGGCGAATTTTATTCAACCATTTCTTCCTCACCGAGCCTGTGTGTGGTACTTCCCGCTGTCTCGAACTACTGCCAAAGCTTCAGGTGCTACTTCTGTAGCAACACCCTCCTCACTCTTTCAAATAAACAGGACTTGTGGGTCTGTTACGTGTTTGCTGTGAAGCCGAATAACCCGAAAGTTGCAGGTAAAGTCAAAAGCTTTTACTTACACACTTTATCCTTCTTTTCTGTGCTCTCTATTGTCTTTTGCTGTAAGTCTATTGGACAAAATAACAGTCTCTTATTATTTAATCACCAGTATTAATTTAGGAGTAAAATGACAATAGATTCTCAACCTAAAATAAGTAGTGGGACATCATACTCTGTAGTCACCAGGGCTTCAGCCAAACTGGGCAAACAGGTGAAGCTGATGGACTCACGCATACCGGTCTTGAAGACCAGGGCTGATATTCCCAGCTCGTACAAATTACCTATGTCGCCACAGTCCTACAGTGAAGCTGTGCAAAGTCAGCCAAGTGGATGTGGCTCCACCCCTGTTAACATGACTAGGTTAACAGATCCGAGTGGGAAAATTGCACTAAGTGAGAACTGCATAACACCCATCCCCATGGTAGACCATGAAACAAATAGGAAGGCCAAAAAGAAACGTTCACGACGTCGCAAGACGACAAGAACGCTCCCCAAGAAGGCAGACGACTGCAAGGTCTGCGCTTCTGTTGTCGAACAAGCAGACTCTGCTTTCGAATGTAACTTTTGCAAGCGATGGGTGCATTGCAGATGCGACAATGGGGTACCAAAAGCATATTATGACTTTATGCGTAGAAACCCATGCCAATGGTTCTGGTACATATGCCCGAGTTGCCGTCCTGATGTAGCCTCGCGTAGTCCTTTGAAAACTAAAGATGGTGCAGAAGTAGCGGGGAAAAATATGAAATGTTCGACCAGCACCAATCCGGAAATTAGTACAAATGCGCGTAAACCGGGGATACCAAAATCCTCACTGGTTAAACCTGTAACTCTTGACATAACCGCTCCAGACACAGAGGCTGGAGAACCACGGGTCTCCGTCGTTGGAAAAAGACCCCTCTCGTCTGCCAGTAATATTGGCCACAGCACTGAGACACAAAAAAATACCCAGACGAACCAAAACGGTCTTAAAGGAAATCACAAATGTGCGAGGACCGAGCCCAAGCCCACGGTTAGTAGATCAAATTGTGTAATCCTCTTTAATGTACCAGACTGTAGCAGTAGTCTGCTGAAAGATAGGGCCCTATTTGATCAGGAACAGTGGTCCATCTTGTGCAGCACACTGGGTTTGGACATCCAACCAGTAAATCTATGCAGATTGTACAAGGGCACTGCTGCACCTGAAGGCAAACCATCCCCACTGAGGGTAACATTGGGCTCTACCGAGGATGTTGAAAAAGTGTTACTGGCTTCTCAAGTCCTTTCTATAGGGAGGGCCTGTAACATACGTGTTAAGCCAGACAGGCCGTGGAAGGAAAGACAAATGGCGAGGGAGTCGCCAGAGCTCATTCCTTCTGCCTCCATGGTTGTGCATGGCATTCCCGAACTGGTAACTGGGAACGCCTGCGAAAAGCATTGTCATGATGTACAACAATGGAGATGGTTGGCATCCCAGATGGCCCTGGGAGTTCAGGGGCTGTCTCTATTTATAGACTGCCTCGACCCACTCATCTTATGTCAATTAACTCGCCACGTCTGTTAGCTGTCAAGTTCAGCTCCCAAGACCAGTTGACTACCGCTCTCCAAAGATGGTACGAGACCAAGGACAAGGTCAGCAAACACATTCGCTGCTGCGAGAGCCGGCCTCGCACTCAAAGGAGAGAACAAAGCGTAGTAAAAAAAATCCTCAACCCCTAGTCACACTACAGCGGTGCAGCACGGACGATGATAGCCAGTGTCATCCGAGTGCTCCGACTGAACTAGAAGAAAAAAACGCCAACAGGCCGGTTCCTGGGGAATCGGCCAACTAGTTCGTAGGATAACTCCTCAACCGATAGCCAATATCAAGTCAACTACCCCCCAATACGGGGAAGTGGTGAGACTGACTACCAGTTGCCTGTATAGTAATGTGAGAGGGCTAAGAGGCAAAATAGCTGAACTTAGACACCTACAATCACAACTGAACTCCAAAATCATAATACTGACGGAAACCTGGCTAACCCCTACGGTGGCAGACAGCGAAGTCAGTATAAATGATATGGTCCTAGTCAGGCGAGATAGGGACCTGAAAGAAGGAGGTGGAGTCGCCATATACGTCGACAAACAGCTCAGATGTGTTCACGCGATGGACCCTCCCCTCACAGAGCTCCCTGACTCCATATGGTGCCACTTCACCGTTGGGTACTGCAAATATCTAGTGGGCAGCATTTATCGATCACCTTCATGTGGAGCAGACCACAACCAGGTACTGCTAAATACAATCTCAGCAACTCAAGACATGGGTTATGATCAAATTGTCATAGCTGGTGACTTCAATGCCCCATCTCTTAACTTGGTGTCGGGAAAAGCCCATGATAGATTTGATCGAAATCTGCTGCATACCATCAGGAAGGCTGGATTCACTGAAAATGTCAAGATGGATACTAGATGGGGCCCTGATGGGAAGTCTTCTAGACTGGATTACGTGCTCACTAGTGACCAGCTACTAGTGGAAAACGTTCAGATCACGACTCCCATAGGTAGTAGTGACCACGCGGTCATAGTATTCGACATAGTCCTCCGCGAGCGCTTACAGTGGGACAATACACAGCCCTATCTGTGTTATAACAAAGCCAACTACACCAAAATGCGAAGACTTCTGTCTGAAGCAAATTGGCCTAAAAAATGGACAGAGCTAACAGTAGAAGAACACTGGAGAGTGGTAAAGGAGATCATTCACCAGGCGGTCTCAGACACTGTTCCTTTAGTCACACCAAAAGCTAGGAAGCAACGATCATGGCTAAAAAGGGGGACACAACGCCTTCTGCAGGCGAAGCGAAAAGCCTGGTTCGCGTGGCGACGATCGAAGAGTCAACCCGAACATGAAGTGTACCTTGAACTCAGGAATCGATGTAACATACGAGTCCGGAGCGATAGAAGGACATTTCAGGGAGACCTCGCCAATAAGCTTCTCGTGAACCCCAAAAGCCTATACAGGTTTATATCCGAAAGAAAACCGACCAACCAGGGAGCATGCAATCTAGTGGGTTCTGATGGGAAATCTCTTACTAGTCTTGAAATGGCAGAGACATTCAGCCTAGCCTTTCACAGGCAACTAAACAGTAACGAGGATATTACCCCACAGAACATCCAGATTACATCGCAAAACCAACACGCGAAAACCTGCTGGGTACATTTCAAATTACCCCGGCTATGGTACTTGCAAAATTGGGAAGGTTGGCTTCGGGAAAGTCTTCAGGTTGTGATGACATCAGACCATCTGTCCTGAAGCAGTGTTCAGAAAGTCTCTGCCAACCCCTAAGTGATCTGTTCCAACACTCCCTTGATGTAGGGAAACTTCCATGTGAATGGAAACGAGCAATCCTATCCCCTATCTTCAAGGGTGGTGACCGGCAGAATGCGACCAGTTACAGACCAGTTGCTCTACTTCCAGTGATATCGAAGATATTGGAAAGTCTCATTGACGACCACATGAGAAAATACTTCGATGGGACTAACCTTCTTCACGAAGCACAGCACGGTTTCAGGAGGGGAAGATCCTGCGTGACGAATCTTCTACTAGCTTGGAACGATTGGACACTATCCTGGGACAAAAAGGTACCAGCCCACGTGATCTTTCTCGACTTTGCGAAAGCATTCGACACAGTTCACCATGGTCTGCTCCTTCACAAAATAAGCAAGGCGGGTGTTTCTGGAGCACTTCTCGCATGGCTGAAAGATTACTTAGGCGAGAGAGAATTCTGCACCAAAGTCAACCGCATCCGATCATCCTGGCACACCTCGGCATCAGGGGTTCCTCAGGGTTCTATCCTAGGGCCGTTGATGTTTTTGATTTTTATCAACGACCTGCCCTCCCAACTAAACTGCTCTGCGCTTCTTTACGCTGACGACGTAAAGATTTGGAGAGCAATAAACTCATCGGAAGACTCAGATAGATTGCAGGCTGACCTGCAAACTCTGGGAAACTGGGCTCTGGCTAACGGAATGCCTTTCAACCTAAAGAAGTGCAAAGTAGTGCAACTTCATTCGGGCAGGTCACAGAGTGTAAATTACACCCTTGGTGGCCAGAACTTGAGTTGTGTTCAATCAGAGCGAGATCTAGGTCTTATTCTAACAGAAAAGCTAGACACCAGTGGAAATTACTCGAGGGACGTCGCCAAAGCCTACGCAACTTTACACTTTATGCATAGGCAGCTGGGAGCTCTCACTCCCGAACTGTTCTTAAGGTTATATAAGGCATATGTGAGGCCACACCTTGAGGTGCATAATATCATTGCACCTCCGCTACTCAAAAGGGATGCTAACATTCTAGAAAGTGTCCAGAGACGAGCGACAAAATGGGTGATCGGCCTCCGCAACAAATCATATGAGGAAAGACTAAAGAAATTAGGTCTTTTCACACTTAGTTACCGTAGGCACAGGGGAGACCTCATCACCGTCTACAAGATCCTAAATGACCAGGCCCACCCAAATAAAAGCATCCTGCCATTAAGTGATTATAGGCTTCCACGAGGTAACCCGCTAAGGATAGCACACCAGAGACCAAAGACTCGAGTGCGATCACATTTCTTTTCGCTTCGTGTTTGCCGTCTCTGGAACGCTTTACCGGCGGCCGTGACTACAGCGCCATCTGTGGAGATTTTTAAGCGGAAGCTAGACAATCATGCAGAAATGCAAGGTTTGTGTCTCAATGGCTTATCCTCATAAAACTTGAAACCACACTGTCAATGATAAGCGTACAAACTAAATCCCCACGACCTATTCTGCCTTCTCTCACTCTATCTTTTCCTTAGGTCACCTTTATTATTCCACTTATCTCAACCTATATTATCTACACTACAACCTATTATTTTTATTCTTATTATTATTACTACTATTCTGCTTTTATGACTACACCGAATGACCAACGGGAGTTAGGTCAAACTCCATTCACGGCAGCAATACAGTCCTAACATACTGCATACTACAAACCACATCTCGACCAATCCCCGCACCACTCCTCCTGGAGTCTACCAGAGCTAAAGCAGTCGAGTGGCGGGACTTACTACGCAGAAGCTCACCGAAGATCTGGAACCTCTACCTCACAATCAAGAAGCGAGCTCAAAGAAATCACTGGTTTATACTAGCTCGTAATCAAGATATTGGATTGGATTAGATAAATGAAACTTCTCAGGTATATATGGTGACTAATCTTTTGAAGAACGTCATTTAGAAGAAATTAAATTTAATAGAGGAAATTTTTGAGGGAAAAACACGTAAAAAGCTTGAATTCTTGTTAATATTGTTGGGGATACTGGAGTTTCAATAATGAATATTGAACACGAAGGTATTTGAGGGTATCTAAGATGGTAACGTTACTTCTCGGTCTCTTACTCAATTTAGTTTCATTTAGCTGCTAGGTCACTTCCATTTTTCTCCAATACTCTTAGTTATAGAGCAACTTCTGCTCTGTCTACTAAATTTAAATCGCTGTACAGTGTTTTCGAACTACGCAAAGATGCTACTCATCAAGAGATCAAGGAGGCTTTCTACCGACTGTCAAAATTATATCATCCTGATGTCACCGATGACCCAAATGCTAGGGGAAAGTTTCACGAGTTAATGAGAGCATATGAAGTTTTGGGTAATCCGATTAAAAGAAATGAGTATGATCGGGGCCTAGTTCACCCAAGAAGTGACAGAATAGACACTGATTTTGAACAATACTCTATTGATTCTATTAGAGACAGTAGCAAAGATAATTTCAAATCATTCTACGTCAAGCAGCATAATCGAATCTTGAATGAATCTTGGGAGAGGCAGTCTGATAGAGAATTAATAATGACCGCAAAGGAATTGAAAGAGGATCAGAAGTTGGTAGTCACGGTGCTACTTGGGACAATCGTCTGTGGTATTTTCTTCAGTTATCTGTATTCCAAATTCACAGAGGAGCCCATTGAATTTGTTAAAGAAAAGTAGTTGGAACAAAACTACATATGCTATAGAGCAGGTAGTTAGTTTTATACACCAAATCTCATCTGAGTTGTACAAGCTTAATAAATTCTTTCGAATAACTTGTAAGTTGGAACTTACAGATCTTAAAGTCAGTGAGTATCCATGTGTTACAGTCGAACAAAGTGTGATATGAAACAATCATTTCATGAAAAAGTGTTTCTTAAATAACAAACCAATTCGTCTTTTTATTTCTGTCTTATTATTCCGGCAGATTGGACTGGTTTCTGGAAGTCATTTAGGAATTTATAGGCTTCGTTACTCTGGTTAAACTGGTTTCATCTAGCTCTTAACTTTAAGGTAAAAGTATAAGAACTGTTTCAACTGCTTTCCAGAATATGTATGTGCTTTTTTATCTCCAGTTGAATCAAATATTAGTGAAGACATGATACTTTGATTGGACACTAATTAGTAACTAGTGTGATGTGTGTGGTTCTTTCTTTGGTGCAGACTGCATTCTATCAGTCAAGTTTGCGATTTACCACCATTCTAGGTAGCTCGACATCGCGGTGCACGTTGATTTGATGATATTAGGTGGTTTGAGGCAATCGGCAGGAAGCCTTGGACCTATGTTTCGTTAGTTGCCACTCGTCAACAAGGTGTATCTGGAACTTTGGAGGAACTCATGTCTCTTCTGAGATTCGAACCCACGTCATCCAGTGTTGCAGTCAGACGGTACCATTGAGCTATTCAAGCTCGCGATTGACCTCTTGTAGGAGTCACACCGATTACAAACTAGTGTCCAATCAAAGAATCCAATACCACTAGTTTGTAATTGGATATTAATTTGTTATACAACCAATCAGCCACACTCAATGCACTGCGTCAGCAAAGTTCGATTGCCTGCATTACCCCAAATGTTGCTTTGCAATTTGCTTCATAGATCGGAGTGTGTTGCCCCTCCTCAATTTGCTTTACTGTGGGGCACTCGTAGTATAGTAATCCATCTACTAACTATATGGGTCGCAAACCCTCTCAACAATCTTCGATACGGCTCATATGATCTTACTTATCCCTTCTAAGTTCTAATAAGACTGCAATCACTATTCTGTATCGGCAGAACCTATCTTCGCTTAGATAAGAATTTATGTAAGTAAAAAGTTTGAACATTGTGGATTACATCAAATAAATTAACATTACATTTAAATAGTTTACAAACAATGATAAGTTCTTTTTGTTTTTGGTAATATTCCGAGCAAAATTTGCCCGTGGTCACACTAACTGCTGGAACCTTGGTAAATCTCCTCATCTTTCGGTTCTGTTATTTCAGATATATGCATACAACTGATTAGGATCGCGCTAAGTTCTACTTCTAAGGTCTTAGGACAGATCATAAAGTGATCGGCTGGTGTATCAAGGTACTTCTGTTTAAAAAAATCAGATTGTCTGATTAAGGCTAGAAGGCTTGGAGCTTATGTTAATCCTTTTCTAGTAAATTTCTGTGCTTGTCCAAACCCTTCTTCACGTTGCAGACGCAATTTCTTCTGGGACTCGGTCTCAGAAGATTATGATTCGGTGTAACAGTATGATTTCTTCTTGGCTTTCAAGCTCTCCTGCTGTCCTCTAAGGTGTCCCGATCTGGTGGGAAGGAAAGAATAGGTCACGTGCGTAGTCATTATTTAAAATTTTAAACACGTTAATTGAATCTCCTCTCTGCCTACGTCATGGCAGGAATAGATTTAAACTGTCTATTTATTTTATTTTTGACTACAGCTTGATTCCACACCGTATTTTTGGTACAAGTATGGAATTTTCAGCGTGGATATCGGTAGCCCAAAATTCGCAGACCAACCATAGATATCAGGTGTGCGCCGGCGTGGGCTCGAACCCCGGACCATGTGCATGGTCAGCGAGAGTCCTAACCACTGTGCCACCGACGCACTAGTCTTTCCTCGTATGATAAGTTAGTCATACAGAGAATCATACGTGTAGCCTTCCTTTGAACCCTTTCTAAAATGTGAGTCCCCTTTTAGACAAGGACCGTCTGTCTGTTTTCGACATAGGACTTTGCACATATGTGCGGAAGTTCAAGTCGCCACACTCCATGTAGCACACAAAGCAAGAGAAAAAATGCATAATAGAGACAATAAACAGAGGCGTGAGACAAGGGAATAGTAGTAGCGAAGAACAAAACAGTCTCATTAGGAATCATAAGTCACAAGGAGTGGATGCATCTGCGCCATTGAGAACGATTTTGAACTGTGTCACCAATTGTTTCCAACCATTGGTTTTTACCGTCCCGAAGACCCCGACCAGGAAGTCTACACCTTCCTACGTGGCTTAGACTAGCTGTTGTAGATTTCATTGACTGGTGCCATGTTTTGGTTTGACCGCCGCTAGCTTTTTTCCAGCCTGACCCTATATCCGCTAACATTGCCCGTCGAGGAAAGCGATGACTAGGCATACGTATACATGTCCTAACCATCTCAGTCTATGTAACTTCACAGCCTCATCGACTGATTTCTCCTGCTTACCTAGAACTCGACGCCTAACTTCAATATTGCTCACCTTATTATACCACTTCACACGGGAAATAGAATGCAGGCACCTATGATCAAAGACAGGTAATCTTTTCATGTCTTCCACTCTCAATGGCGAGGTCTCACAGCCATAAAGGAGGACGGAGTAGACTGATGAGCAGTACACCCGCCCTTTGGTCGATAGTCGGATATCACGTCTACGCCAGAGACGGTATATGCGAAACGAGCCCTCTGAATCCGTGCTGAGATTTCGTCAGAGATCAACCCGTTGGCACTGGCTGATGGTACTTCCCAAATAAGTGAAGCGGTCAACGTGCTCTACCACTTCACTTCCTATTTCTAATCTAGGAGTCGGTGTAGTCCAGTCCTGTATCATCATCTTGCATTTGGTGGGAGCGAATCGCATTCCAAACATTCGTAGATTGCAGCTCAAGGCGTTCAGAAGACTCTGCATTTTGTCAGCGTCTTCGCCTAGAAGGACTATATCGTCTGCATATTCTAAGTCAACGAGATTATTCCCTGGTAGCAAGTCAATCCCTGAGTCGCTGAAGTGAGTTAGGTTTAAGTCCATTAGTACATCTATGATGAAGTTGAATAGAAAAGGAGATAATGGGCATCCTTGACGGACACCACTAGTTGTCACCACTTCAGACGACAACTCGCCGTAAGCCCTCACCTGGCTGCATGAGTACGAGTAGAGTGCCTTAATCAGTGCAATGTATTTTCTCAGCATTCCCTTTACAGCCAAGCATCGCCAGAGAACCTCTTGGTCAACAGAATCGAATGCCGCCTTTAGGTCAGGAAATATAATGATTGTTGGACGCCGGTAGGAATGACTATGTTCTAGAATCTGTCGGAGGGTGAAGATATGATCAATACACCCTCTTCCTGGTCTAAAGCCTGCCTGGCTCTCCCGTGTTTGTGCCTCCCGAGCATCACTTAGTCTACGCATGATTATTGAGCCTAGGACTTTAGATACTATATTAGTCAAGCTAATCCCTCTGTGATTATCACAGGAAGACTTGTCTCCCTTTTTGTATATGGGGATAATCAGTGACTTACACCAACCCGATGGGACTTCCTCTGATTCCCAGACGCTGCCTAGAACCTCAGTTAATGCAGACAGTAAACTGTCTCCACCGTACTTAAATACCTCTGGAGTCATTCCATCAGGTCCCGCTGCTTTGCCTTGTTTCAGATTGGTGACAGCTTTAGCAACCTCAGTTAGGGACGGAGGACTTGTGTTTATATCCCATTCAGGGAGGTGTTGGATGTTCGGCAGGTTGAGCGTGGCTGTGGGCCAATTAAACTGCTCCTCATAGTGCTCTTTCCAGCGTTCCAGTCGCCTATCCTGAGAGCTAATTATGGTACCATTTTCCTCAGAGATTGTTTCACTTATCATTTGCCCTTTGCCACCCGTTTCCCTGATGAGTCTAAAGAGTTGCCTATCGCCGATGCTTTTTTCCATCTCTTTCGCCCACCACTGTTCACGGTCCTTGCGGAGACTTTCCGTAAGTTTCCTTTTGTACAGCTTTCGCTCCTCATTGAATTCGGAGCTCGCCGGAATAAGTCTTCTAGCATCTATCAGTTCGGATGAGGCAGTCGAAATCCAATGGTTTTTACTCACCTTTGGGTTTACCTTATTCACAGCTGTATCTATGGCTGCCTGAATATTCTTCCAAGCTTCTTCAGGGTGAGCACAGCTGTCGAACATAGATATGTGTTTAGCTAGTTCTTCCTCAAATAGGGATTTAGTTTCCTGATCGAGCTGGGGACGTGATGGGTTTACCGCCAGCTGTTTCCTACGTCCGTTCAGTCGTAAGCACACACTAGCGCGGACCAGTACGTGATCGGTATCTACACACGTGTTCCAGAAGGAGCGACAATCTCCTACCGACCCACGCCAACGATAGCTTATTGCTATGTGGTCTATTTGTGTCCAGCGTTGGTTTGATGATGGTGGTCGCCAGGTCAAACAGTGTCTCTCCTTGTGTTTGAAGTTAGTGCTTACAAGAAACAAATGATTATCTGAACAGAACTGTAGGAGACGGTCACCGTCGTCGGTTCGCTGGCACGGAACTCCATAGGTGCCACCGACATCCTTCTCAGATTGACGCAATTTCCCTACTTGAGCATTAAAGTCACCAGCTAGAACGACTATATCTGAGCGTTTAGCCTTTCACAGCGAACTAGACAGCTTTTGGTAGAACTCATCCTTCATTTCATCCGAACTGCAGTCAGTGGGGGCGTAGGCGGAGATTACGAAAGGGCATGGGCGAGTAGTGCAGTCCTTTCTCCTTTTTACTGATCCGTTCAGACGGACAGCACATATTCGGCTATCTACCGGGATCCAGTCAAGTAATGTCTTTTCTGACCTAGTACTCAAAGCTATCCCTACACCAGCTAATCCTCGTGAACTAGCCGTGGCATCTCCTGACACCCTCAGGGTGAATTTTGCAGATTCATCCTGTTGGCCAGGTGGGGTTAGGTGAATAACCACACTTGGGTCTTGTATGCGTGTTTCTGAAACACAACATACATCAATGGCTCGGGACTCCAGAGTCCTGGCTAGCGATGCTTGTTGTCCTATTTGGCAAAGTGTCCTAACATTAAATGCTCCTATATGAAATTGGTGGCGTGGCTTTAGGAGACTATCGGTGCTGGTTTTTTGGCTTCCGTCGTTCTTAGTGGACACAGTGAAGAGCAATCAAGCAGAGGAGTTGCATCAGTGGAAAGAAGGCAAGATAATAGAGATGAAGATAAAGACAAAGATGAGTGAATAGTAGGTAGGTTTCGCGTGCATTTCGGATTGTGAGGGCGATTGTTACTTCCCGGCTGCCCACACCGTGGGAGTTGGTTGCATGACCGCAGAGCCCAGGGGACAACTGCTTGAGGCCCGTCACACGCGGCCTGTTTTTGTTTGTTCTTTATTGTTTGGTGTGTCTCAGTAGCATATTTATCACTTCTGCCCTGTGACACGGCAGCAGGAAGCGCGGTC